CTCATCCCAGAACATCTTTGGAGAAGCTTAGTCCTTTTTCTTAGGAAAAAGGAATTCTCAATAGGAAGATGCTGGGTGAAAAACCTCCGCTTTCTTCCATCCCAAGTTAAAAATAAATGAACGAAACAAAGAAAGTTTTTCTTCAGAACTCTTTTCGAGACCAAGCAACATGCTTCTCTTTCCCCTCGTGCCTGGGAGATTGGTATTTTAAGTGCAGGGATTGAAACTGAGCCATTTCTTGTCATGTGTTTTGCTTTTATGGTAATGTGTTCTGGGTGGTCTGCGTAAGTGCATTCCACGGGCAGGGGACTCGCTGGATTGCACAGCAGTTTGCCTCTCGAGCTGCCGTGAAGTTGAGAAGCGGAAGCAGTTGCCTGGCAGTCATTGCTTAGATCCTCACTAAGCAAAGGGTGGGAAGAGGGTGCCATTTTAATTGTGTTCTTCTGCTAGTCTGCTTTTTTTAAGAGTAAACTTTAGCGTAGTATCTGTGCCCGTTGTGTATCGTCTGTAACTCAGAAAGCTGCCCTGAGTTTTTCACGAGAGCTCCAGGCAGTCGGGTGCTCAGCTGCCATTCACTGTTGGTAGGAGTGAGATGCCTGCCTGATGAAGAGCCCACCTGTCTGCACAGTCCTTGAACTCCAGGTCCCAAATAAAATGCTTCCAATGAGTTGCTTCAGTTCCTGTAGCGGACTTTTCCCCAGGGAAGTGCTGAGAACTGGCCTCGTCTCTTCTCGACGCAGCCTCCGACATAGCCGTGTTACAGCTGCCAGGATGCGAGCGCCTGAGCGCGCCGCAGAAGGTCGAATTGGCAGAAAAACTGCTACTGCCGAGTGCTGCGCGAGCACGCCCCGACTAGCGGGAACCGAGCCAGTTGCACATTAGCACGAGTCGCAGCTTTATGCCTTAAAGATGCCTTCATTGCTCCATTCAGAGTCAGATGAGTTCCTGCAGCCGTACGGACCTGTGCTCATGCCTCGGTTCTGATGTATCCTGTGAATAAGCCGCGGGAGAAGATAGCGTACGATAAGTGATTACAGGGCAAGCGTGGTGTGCCGTGCTGCGCGCTGCTGCGACCCCCTCGCCGGCCAGCTCCAGCGAGCCTTGGAACGGTCAGTTTGTATCTCGGGACTACTAAGCAGTATGTATTTTTCTCAAAATAAATGTTTACAGTACGTGGCGTGGTGGTGGTCACTGCCGTGGGAGCGGCCTGTCGCCGGGGTGTGGGCAGGGCTGCTGTGGGGGGGTCCCTGATGCAGGGCAGCTGCAGCAAGGGATAGAGGGGCCAGACTTGGGCCACCAGCCTGAGTGCGGGCCATGCGTCTCCTCCTCCTGCCCCGGGGGGCGGGCAGGAGGCCGGCCTCAGGCCATCCCGTCCCGGGCTCGCGGGGGCTCGCGGCCAGGCC